CACTAAGAACTAGAGTGGTGCTCACAAAAAATTCCCCAGAGGTTGTCAGGCCCCAGTGAGTTAGTCAAGAGAAGAAAGGGGAAAAAAAGGTGTTTTCATGAAGGGGAGATGGCTACTAGTTTTTCACTAGTGGTGGGACATGAAGTGTTAGGAGAAGAAAAGGGAGATAGGGAACAGATCATGAAGATCTTGTTTTATCAAGCCCGGGTGCTCCAACTCATCTCCTGGGAAATGGGCCTCACAGAAGAATTTATACCTAATTAGGGTGCCAGACACATGCAGACTTGAGGAACAGAATTCAGCACTGAGACGCTGAGACCTGTGAGAAAACTGTTCTGGGAGTTCCAGAGGATGGGGAGTGCCTGGACAGTGAGGGGCAAAAGCACAAATAAGCACTGTATTTGCATCAGGTGTTCACTTTCAGGTTCTTAGGGACCTGAAATCAAACCAAAGATAGGTATAACTTGGTCATGCATTGATTCTGTTTGTGAACATGAATTAAATGGGCTGCAATGTGGATTTCTAATAGGGAGCAATTCTGCTCAAGAAGTAGAAAGAGCCCATTGGGCATGGTGGCTCATGCCTGTAATCCCAGCATTGGGAGGCTGAGGTGAGAGGATTGCCTGAACCCAGGGGTTTGAGACCAGCCTGGGCAACTTGGCGAGACCTTTTCTCTACAATAAATAAAAAAATTAGCTAGGTGTGGTAGCACGTCCCTGTAGTTCCCGCTACTTGGAAGGCTGAAGTGGAAGGATTGCCTGAGCCCACCAGGTTGAGGCTGAGGTGGCTGTGAGCGTGCAACTGCACTCCAGCCTGGGTGACAGAGTGAGACACCAACTCCAAAAATAAAAAATAAAAAAGAAGTAGCAAGAAGTCACCCCACATTTCAGCCTGGCAAACTGTTTGGAGTGCTGTTTGTGTGTGTGTGTGTGTGTGTGTGTACACATATGTGTCTGTGTTGTGGACACAAATCTGCTGGCTTGGACAGGAAGAGAGACCTGTTCTTCATTTTCTTGTGATTGCAAAATCCTCTTTTCTCACAGTATATAATATAATACTATTCTTACTTGCCAGCATTCTTCTGATTAGCTTTGTATCTGGCATTGCAAATTTTCTTTTTGACTACTTTTTTTCCTGATTAGTTTCTCAACAGTGATTAGAAGTAGAAATGGAAATACACCAGAAAATGATTGAATGAAAAGGAGTCCTCTCCCCACCCCTAAGTACACAAACAAGAAAAATGAAGGATGGCAACTAACTTTCATTGCTTCAGATAGACTCTAGTGCTTTGTCATGACAGTTGGAGGGCAAGTTATGGAAATAAATGTAAATGTATGACAGGGTGATAGCCAGCTGGCTATCTAAAGTGAGCATCAGCTTTCTGGAAGGAGTAGAGACATTTCCCTGTCATTCTGTTGGAATTGCCTCACTGCTAGAGAGCATTTCTCTTGCCACAAGGCTATAGTAAAAGCAAACACATACATTTCTAAGAAACAGATTGTTAGAAAGTGAATTTCTTTGAAATGCTTAAATAAAGAGCATTTATTATATGCTGAAAGTGTCTGATTCTTCCTAGTACAGCAGCTCTGTGTTCCTCAGTCATCATCAGTGATGAAGGGATAAAAAGAGAAGTAATGGATGCTGGTCTTTCCCTCCCATGGCAAAAAACTAGAAAACAAAACAGTCGTCTATGAGGCAGGGGACAACAGGCAGCTAGGACTATGATCCTTGAGAGGGGAGAACCACATAATAGGGGATCCACTTTTGCAGTGGAGCACACTCCCCACCCAGGGCTTTTTGGAGATGTGCCAAGATGTAGGGCAGAAACAAAGTTGATGCAAGATAAGCCCAGAAGTTTTTAAAAAAATCAGAAAGTAAGGAAATAAAAGTAAGAAAATTAAAAGAATGATGGGCTATGTTACAAAGATACAGAAGCCAGCTTGCAGAGGCTCCTGCTGGCTAAGTCTGAGACAATTTGGGCACCAAAATAATTAGGCCCTAGCAGAATTATTACAGGGAGGTGAGCCCTAGCAGAATATTGTGGTGTCATAACAAATTGAGAGGGATGATACTGTAGTGCCACGAAGAGCTGAAATGTGTATGGCAGGGTACTGAAGAAGAGAGAGCTACTCAAGGGGTGAGACCTATACAGAGTGAGACCTAGCAGAATGCAGCTGCTACCCGGCTAGGAACATGATGGCAATACCAGAGATCATGCATTACTGAGAGCGACTGGGGTTCTGGCCTAGCCCAGGTAGAGAGACCTTACTGAGTAGCTCATCCATTATTTTGAGACACCAGAAAGGCACATCCTAAGAGTAAGGAGTGTACCTTAGAGTAAGGACCATAAGCTAGGAATAAGGGCATGACTGGAATCAACCTGTCTTCACCAAGTATAAGACCATGCTTGAAAGAATCAAGAGGATCCATCAGTAATTTAACTGCCACCAGGACCAAATTGAACACCCTCCAGTTGTCTGTCTTATAATAGAAAATAAGCATGCAAAGAAGCAGGGCATTGTGACCCATATTTAAAATGAAAAGTAATCAATAGAAATAGAAAGTGTCTGTGAAACAGTGTTAAACCAGAACTTGCTCTCTAACAGCATTCTCCAAGGAAAGGAACCAGGGCTTTTTGGAGAAGAGACAAGATCTAGGGCAGAGACAGAGATATGCCCAGAACTTTTAAAAAAGATATATCAGAAAGTAAGGGAATAGAAGTAAGAAAATTAAAAGATTGATGGGCTATGTCACAAAGATATAGGAGCCAGCTTGAAGAGGCTCCTGCTGGCTAAGTCTGAGATAATTTGGGCACCAAAATAATTAGATGCAGGGACAAATTATAAATCGTTGAGAAAGTAGGACTTCATGTATCCCAGATAAATAGGTAAGCAAATAATATAGAATGCTGACTAGTGAATGGCAATATGGAGGGAATGCGGGAGTAGGAACAGTCAGTATGTTGTACCATCACAGTATAAAGTTTTGATCAAGCATGCATCACCAGTGGGGGAGATTTTGATGCCGGAGAAGATATTTGCGTGATCTTTTTTTTTTTTTTGAGTTGGCGTCTTACTCTGTCGCCCAAACTGGAGTGCAGTGGCCGCTCCCGGCCACCGCAGCCTCGACCTGCTGGGCTCCGGCAATCCTTCCGCCTCAGCCTTCCATGTAGTTGGAACTACAGGCGCACGCTACCACACCCGGCTCATTTTTTGATTTACTGTAGAGATGAGGTCTCACCAAGTTTCCCAGGCGGGTCTCGAACCCGCAGGCTCAGGCAATCTACTCACCTCAGCCTCCCAAGGCACGGGATTACAGGCTGAGCCACCGAACCCGGCTATTTGCGTGATCTTAAAGTGTCTCCCTACAGATTGCTTATTAGTTGTAAGGGAAAAAGAAGTAATCTTTCACTGGAGAAGTTGGACAACTCTCTGGCTAGGTGATCAAAATTAACATCGCCAACGTGGGGCAGACAGACTTTGTGAGCCCTTAGATTAGGCATCCAGAGAAGACATCACTTCTGTAGTTTTCTGGCTGAGAATGCATAGCCTTAACTGAATCATCAGGAATCACCTGAGGAAACGTCACACAAGTCAAAATAGAAATGTTCTATTCATAGAAAAGGGGAGAGAGGTGATATTCTTCTAAGGTGTCAATGTTATAAAAGACAAAGGAAAGCTGTGTGTTACACGTTAAAGGAAGCAAAAGGAAATGGCAGCGAAATGCAACATCTGACCCTGCGTTATATCCTGAATTGGAGGAGAAAGAAATTAGTCAAGGGCATTATTGGGCTAGTTCAATATGACAGTAGATTATATTAAAATATGATGTATCAATATTAAATTTACTAAGGTTGATAACAACATTGTGGTTATGTAAGAGAATATTCTTATTCGTAGGAAATAAATTCTGAAGTAGCTAGAGGTAAAGGGCTATGTTGTATGGAACTTATCTCTGGCTATGTCTGAGACATTTTGGGCACCAAAATTACTAGGCCCTAGCGGAATTATTACAGGGAGGTGAGCCCTAGCAGAATATAGTGGTGTCATAACATTGAGAGGGAAGATACTGTAGCTCAGGGCCACTGAAGAGCTGGAATGTGTATGGCAGATTACTGAAGAAGAGAGCTACTCAAGGGGCGAGACCTACACAGAGTGAGAAAAAAAAAAAAAAGTCAAGTGTGTATGTATGGAGAGAGTGAGTGAATGATTAAATAAATTGGCTAAATATTGATAGTAAGTGAATCTGGGTAAAGAGTATATGAATTTTTTTTTACTGTTATTATTCTACAATTCTTCTGTAAATTTGAGATTATTTCCAAATAGAAAAAATTAAAAACCAAAAAACTCAGCAATATAATTGTGACTTAAAGAGAAAGGGAGACTATGTGAAAAAGATATAGGTGTTTCTTAACTACCTTGGTTGGATTTCTGACCTTTGGATTGTCTGTGATAAATACATTAATCCTGTGGCAGTGTCTCTGTCACTTAGCAAGCAAAGTCATTTTGTATCTGTTGGCTAACAAAGAGTTTCTAGTGCAAAAAGAACTAATACTGCTATTCCAGTTGAAACCATTATGTCATTTGGTGTCATGGAAGAGTTTGGAATAAGGCGTCATAGAGCTGAGCTCTAATTTCTTCTTTGGCCCTTGCTGACTGAGTGGTCAGGGGAAAGTTTCCAAATATTTGGGAATTTCAGCCACTGCATTTTAAAATAATACTTGTATATTCTCAAGATCTTAAGGTTCCAATGAGAAAATACATGTAAAAGCTCTTTATAAATTGTGATGATTTCTTCTAGAACATTAAGTTGCTATTAGTAGTTTTGGTTAAAATGGCTTAGACTGAGATCGATATTTTCCTTAACATGGGTGACCCTTTTTCAAAACTCTTTAACATCAAGTTTCTCCTAGGTTGATTATACAGGAGTTTCTTTCCCCAGTGGACCCCTTGGTTCCTTCTAGTTGCCTCCTTCCTCATTTCCTGCTCTTATTATTCCAGGCAAAGCTTCAGTGACTGAAAGAGTTGTGAACTTTCTGAATTTCGGAAACAGTGAAGGTGGAACACAGCAGAGAGTGTATAATAAAAGATAACACAGGTAAGTCAAAATCGGCACATCACCCATTCTCAAAGAACTCTTTGTTCTGAAATTCCTTGTGATTGCTCCTGCTTCGTTTCAAGATTGTGCATGAGCCTCCGATGGCACAAAGGGAATATCTAGGACTCCGCGGGGAACAAGGGCAAATTCAGCCAAGGAAAGGGCAGTGTAGCTTAGGAAAAGTAGGAAAAAGAATTGAAGAGGCCAGTTTCCCCACTGGAGACAAGCAACATGGGCAGAACTACGACAAACAAAAGGCACAGAAAATAGTGTCAGCCTGAGTCACTGGAAATGACATAAAAGGGCACTGCTGGATCGAAAGTCAATAAGCCAGCTAGGAAAGGTCCTAGGATATGCCATTTGGGATCAGACCTTTTCTCTTAATCTGGAATTGCTTTTGATTGAGGCTTTTATCCTGGAAGAGTACAGTTACCAGGTCTGCCCTCTTATCTAGAATTGAGCATTCTAGGCCCATGCTGCTTAGAGTGCCAATCTGAGATGGGATAAAGTGCTTGCCCAATGACATAAGTCTGCCGAACTAAACAGCGTTTTTGGTGTCATTATTGATTTCTATTCTGGTACGTGTTTCCTATGTCTGCTTGTACATGCAGATAATATATAATAATATTTTACTTAGTTTTGCTTGTTTTTAAGCTTGAAAAGAATGATACATTGCATGTAGTGTTTTGCAACTTGCATCTTTTCTACTCAATTATGTTACAAGATTTACTTGTTGCATGTAATGGCAGTAAATTAATTTTCTGATTAAATAAATTTGTTTGTGAGAATCAATCATGCTTTATCTGTTGTCTTACTTCCCTCCAACCTTTGGTATTTTATTGCCAGTCTGGTGGGTGCAAGCAAGTATACTGTTGTAATCTTTATTTGCATTTTCCTAATTAATAGATTGAATATCTTTCTGTTTAGTACCATTTGGAAAACAGTTTTCATGATTTTAATGTAGGCAAATCTTTCAATCTTTTCTTGTATGTTTTTTGAGATACAGCCTAAAAATTTCTTAACTGTATGTGAGTACATTTTCACAATGCAAAGTACTAACCATTATACGATCATAGCTTATGTGTATATTTTCATTGCTAATCTTTGTTCTTTCTTTTGAAGCTTTTGTTTTTTTATGTTCTCATTCATTCTTTTCCTCTGTTGATTTTGAAATTGTACATTGTATTTCTGTTCTTCTAATGATTACCCTGAAAGTACACTATGAACATTTAACTGTTTTAGAGTTAGTCAGTATTTAAGGTATTCAAACTTCCTTCCAGAATAATACAATAATAGGACACCTAGTGAAAACTCTCTCCTTCTTTATGTATATGCACTTTTCAGTATTTCAGTTCTGTTATTTGTTTCACTATACAAATTAGACAGTTGGTACTGTTTAGAGATGGTATTTGTTTAACTTGATATGTTTACCGTTTCTTGTTTTTCTTCCCTTCTTCTATCCTTACCTTCCCTTTAATTAGATTTACCTTCTTCAGATTTTTTTTCCCCTGAGAATCTCTTGGTGGTAACTTCTCTCAATTTTGATTTCTGAAATGTCTTTATTTCACTCTTAAAGTTCTTAGTTGACAATTATTTTCTCCCAGCATTGTGAACATACTGTTCCATTGTCCTATAGCTTTTATTTTTGCAGTAGGACATCTGTTAGTCTTTTATTTGTCATTCTGTAGTAGATGATTTGACTTATTCTATATTTGTCTTCAGTGTTCTGCAATTTTACTACAATGTGTCTATGTACAGCTTTCTTTTTAAATTTCTGTTTATATTTGTTGTGGTGTTTCATATATTCATGTATTTGTTTCATTTATCAGCTCTGAAATTTCTCAGCTATTAATGGCTTTGAATATTGTCTCTTCATTCTCTCTAATGTCTTCTGTTTTGATTAAATGGATGTTAGGACTTCTCTTTTTATCTTTTATGTCTTTTAATTTCTGTTCATTTCTTTCTTTGGGGGGGGTGGTAATTTCTTAAGATTTGGCATCCAGTTCTATAATTCTCTCTTTAGTTGTATTGGATATTCTATGTAAGCTATTCACTGAGTTTTAAATTTTAATGATGATGTCTTTTTAATTTCTAAAATCTTTATTTGTGCTTTGAATCTTCCTGAATATTTTTTGATGGTTTCTTTTTGCTTACTCATTTCTTTGGCTTCATCTTCCATGTCTTTAAACAACACCAAACAGTTTTTTCATGTCCTATATTTGATAATGCCAGTATCTGAAATCCTTGGTGGTCTAAATCTGTTTTTGGACTTCTTTCCTAGTGTGCATGGTGAGTTTTAATTATGTGCTAATATTTGCTTGATAATTATGTCTTAAAATCTTGAGATATTACTTCTTGAGATCTGTGTTTGTTTGTACTAGAAACCAGGAGCATGCTACAGACCCAAGATCACCTCTCTTTGGAAACCTGGTTTCAGGTTGGGCATTTCCCAGCTTGCTAAGGGCTGAAAGTCTGAACACTCCATCCCATTGTTGGTATTCACAGTTGCCTCCAGGGCAACTCACTTCTTAGTGCTCTTTGCTTAGGTTTCACTGCACTGTTTCTACTTTACTGTCATAGCATTGTTTTCTCTTCCTGAATCTAAGCAATGCATTAAAAAGCATTTTTAAACAGAATAGCAGAAAGGCCTTGCAAATATTTAATCTACCATAATTCCTGAATTAGTAGTGCCCAAGATATTTTTAAAAATCAGTTGTCTGTACATGCCTTTTATTAACTTTCTTAAACCCTTTAAATGTTAAATTGCTTTATTTCATCTAAGAATAATATTGAAGTAGTGTTTTTTAAAATTTTATTTTGAAAGATGACTAAGCCCTATCACATACACTTTTCCCTAAATTCTTTTTTTAGTCACTCTATTGAATATTTACTCTCTCGGAAATTGGAATTACCATTCTTGGAATAACTCATTAGAACAGAGTACTTATTCAGCACCAGTTTATTATGCCTCCCGATCTATTTTCTGTCAAAGTTTCATTTTTCTTTCTATCTAGAATCCTACATATAAAACTATGTATAAAAGATTCAGTTGTGGATTTCTGCTTGTGGATACCTTTCTTCCTCACCTGGAGTATAGAAAATAGATATTTGCTGTTGTGAATTTGAGGCATTATTTTTGTAAGCTTCATGTTCTTACCTCTATACTCCCTCAATAGGCACAGAAAATAGCGTGAAATTTTTGGTTTATAGTATGTTAAGTTGCCTTGGGCTTTGGCACATAAGAAAAAAATTATTTCAAAATTGATGTCAACTGAGGATGCTGATTTAATAGTTTGTTATTCATTTTTCAGCAGAACAATCACCTGTAGGCAACCATACCTTTTAAGAGGCTTCATAGATCTGACAGGTGTGTGTGGATTTTGGAATGAAAGTGATATGTTAGGCATGTCTCTAATTTGCAGACTCTTTATGCTTTGTAGCTTACAGGTAGGATTTTTGTAATACTAGTGTGATCATAGAAAAGGCAAGTACTGAAAACATTCCTAGGAAATGCTGAGCTCTGTGACTAGAAATTCTTTGAGAAACTGCCTGGTATTGACCCCATCCTTTCATGTGGAAAACATAAATATCAGAAAATCTTGTGGCTTTCCCTCCCTTGGATAGCAAATTCTAATGAGTAGTAACTTACATGTGTGTCCTTGTATTCTTGTGTTTTCATTGGCTGTAATTTCAGGCACTGCTGCTGGGTTTTGCTTTCCGAATGGTTAGGTCAGCAGAGCATTCCAGAAGCTTTACCTGGAGAGCTGGGAAAGCCATAATGTAGCTTATCAGGGATGGCCAGTGCTTCCTGAGGGAGCCCTGCTGACCTTCTGGGTTGGGGGAGTCATCAGGCTCAAGTGCACACTGCCTGGGCACAGGGAAAGAAATCTAACTGCTACTGCTCCAGTTCTGTTGGCTTAGGCTGGACAGTTTTTATGGCAGAGCAGTAACTGGCCCTTGGAACTGCCCAGTTCTCCTCTTTTACTGTAAATATGTTCTTTGAAGGTTGTGATTTGGGTCATTCGCCTGATTTTAACAGAGTTCACCTGAGTGCAGTTTCTTTTCTACCGTGAAGTTGTGACTCTGTCCATATCATAACCATACACAGAGACAGCCCAGGAATGCAGTCTTTCAGATGTCCATGTCAGTTAGGATGTTAAAAACTGCAGCTTGACCGTTATTGTCAAGACAAGTGACCAGATCCCATCATATAACTCAGAGCAGTGCTTCCTGTGTCTCCCATGCTTGAGTCACAATTGTGTTCCCCTGGAGTGAGAACACTAACTCATCTCGCTCTAGCTTGCTGCTAGATCACTTGGCCGTCTGTAACATTTTGCTCCTTTCTCACACAAGATAATGAATTAGTTAGTATATTTCCAAATAAGGTTTTTGAAAAGTTAAGATTATTTTAAGCACCTTCCTCTCTCCAACTTATCTTCCCTCCTGCTCACCAAGTTCACATCTGAATGTTTGTTGTCACATCCTTTGTTTGATGCCTGCAAAAATGCCCACAGCATAACTCTTATTTGCCTTTGCTACAGTCAAGGAGTTTTGAGGTTGGCAGCATGGCACCGAGGAGCCATACTAGGTTCACTAATAGCCAGACTGCCTGAGTTCAAGTTGAAGTTCTACTCTCAGTTGGTAGGACTTTGGTTAGTCACTTAGGCTTTCTGAGTTTTACTTTTCCCACCAAATACTTATCTTAATCTGTTCATATACTAGAGCAGTAGTTTTTAAATGTTTGGGGTTTCGAACCCCTTTATACTATTAAAAATTGAGGACCCCAATGAGCTTTGCTTATATGAGTTATATCTAGCATATTGTGATAGGAGAATAATGGCCACCGAAGATGTCCACATTCTAATGCCCAGTACTTGTAATTATGTTACCTTACATGGCAAAAGACTACAGATGTGATTAAGTTAAGGATCTTGAGATAGGGAGCATAACTTGGATTATCCAGGTGGGACCTGGAGCATCATATGGGTCCTTGTAAGAGG